TTTTCATAAACTAGAATCTGATAAACTATTTGTCTCTGGAATCATCTGTGATATGAACTTGTGTAGTGATTTCTCTAGAAATTATTTAACGGTTTCTAAAATTAAACATTTAGTCACCTTTTATTGTATATGACCAAATTAATTAGTTACACTATGAAGTTTTTAAGAAGGAATTCATTTGGGTTCTTTTTGCCCAAGTCAGCCTGTGTGTGGACAATATAACCAATTATCTATTATTAAGTTCATGATCTTTCGTGAATACACCAACTGCATAACACCGTCTCTGACCACAAACCCAAACGGGTTGCTCTCTATTCGCCTACAATCTTAGAACAACATTTCATGGTCTGTTGACTGTTGATTTCGCAATGATAAACCACCCAAACGGTCCATCCCTTGTGTCAGGTGTTAATTAGAGGGTACCATTAAAGAATGTATTCTACTACAATAAGCCTATTATTCCCTGGCAAGGGTTCACTTTTATGACAGGTAATAAACCCTGGCCAGTCAGTCAGTGGGTCCGGTAAACTTTTATTTAATCAATGATGTAACGTAGGTCTATGTAATTTGTGTTTATTCAAACCGTGATAGGTCAAAACCTATTTGCGCTTTTGTGGATAATAAGTAAACCATACACTTAAAACTGTATTTTGGAAAATGCTAGCCATATCAGGGCAAATATGACAGTCAATGTCAATTTTTTGATACCTAGAACAACAAGGATGCAGACGAGAGAAGTTATTCCAGGAATAATCTACAACGTCTTATAGTCTCCCTGGTTATAGTTGATCGCATAGGAGGACGAATACACTCCTAGGAGGACGAATACACAGTCTATACACTCACGGGGATCCTTGGGAAAAGGAGAAACTGAAAGAAGTAGTGGTAAAATCCTTCCTAAATTTCCAAAAATTTCCAAGCCTTGGAAATATCATGTTTCCAATTTGGAAATTTTTGGAAATATGATATTTCCAAATTGGAAATTTTTGGAAATCACCATTTTTTTTTTTCTTGTGTTGGGAGAAGGCTTCGTGGTCTTAGGAACCAGCCTCAGAATTTGCAGGAACTTGGCGCTGCCTTGCAAGAACAATGGCGCAGAATCCCCAACCACATGTTCACCAGCATCAGGCAGTCGATGAGGAGATGGTGTTTGGCAGTGGTGAATGCGCCTGGCGGCCATACACAATATTGAACTGAGAAATTTCGAATTTTTATTCTTGTGACTTGACATTCTGTATACCCATGTTTTGGAACGGCGGTGTAGCCTAATTGAACTGATTATGGCACTGTCAGTGTATCGAGTACATCACACAGATCTCAGCAATGAAATAATAACAAGTTAACCATCTTACCATCTCTTGTTCTTTTATAGTGCCCTGAAGAAAGAATGTGAAGTTTCTGTTTTGACTCAGTATATTTCTTATGTAACAATGAAGTTCCGCTCATATCCTCAAAACAGTGTCGGCCCATAATTGTTTTTTCAGGCAATCAAACTTGCATGCAATACAGCGATTACTACTCTCTTGCTGTAACACTTGTTTGGTCGTAAACCTACACATGTCATGTGTCATCATTCACTTGATGGTCAGTTTATGAATTTATAACTGGTATAATTAGTGATAAAACCACTCAGATTACCCGACAAAGGTCCCCATTTGGCATTTCTTGTGTCTGGAGTAAATACTCCTCATTATAAATTGAGGTCTGATTTGGCAAATATATTACATTTTATGTAATATACGAATGGAAGTGCAGTAAGAGGAATTATCAGCTGAGTAACAAAACAAGCATCGATCAATGATGTTTTGTTACTCAGCTGATGATTCCTCTTACTGCACTTCCATTCGTATATTACATAAAATGTAATATATCATGCAATACAGCGATTACTACTCTCTTGCTGTAACACTTGTTTGGTCGTAAACCTACACATGTCATGTGTCATCATTCACTTGATGGTCAGTTTATGAATTTATAACTGGTATAATTAGTGATAAAACCACTCAGATTACCCGACAAAGGTCCCCATTTGGCATTTCTTGTGTCTGGAGTAAATACTCCTCATTATAAATTGAGGTCTGATTTGGCAAATATATTACATTTTATGTAATATACGAATGGAAGTGCAGTAAGAGGAATTATCAGCTGAGTAACAAAACAAGCATCGATCAAAGGATTAACCGATAACACGCTGATTGATTAATTGCCTTTATTCTGCACAGTGGATTTGTCAAAAGGTAGTGTTTATGTATGTAGATTTACAAATCTATACTGAATACACCCTGTCGTAAAGTCCCTTTGTAAAAACAACGTCCTTCCTTCAAAGGATTAACCGCCAATACACCGATTGATTGCTCATTATTGGTTAACTAAATTACTTTTTTTTAAATAATAGCGGTCATCATGCAGTTAATTGCCAGGTGGGCTATCTTGGGTGATCAATGGGATACACAAATGTGAAAAACCTGAAACGCTAGATCACTTTTTCGCATATTAGACCGTTAAAAAACACATGACATGGATACTTTGTCAGCTGCAGATGAATGTCATATCATTCCTGTATGTGGATATTGATGGATACATTCCCCGAACAAGGTAATAGCCTGATATTGTTGCTTAACTTTGGTCTGTTTTAATTTTAATGTTTGCATTTGTTTTTGTTATTGCTTTCAACAGAATGATTCTTTTTGCTGTGAAGTGTAATGAGACACACAACATACACTAGGTCGCACTTCGGGCGTGTGTGTGAAATGTTATACACACTGACAATCTATAAGATGTCAGTCATGTTATAAATTCGCTAAAAGATCGTGTGCATTTTATTAAGTTTCAAAATGCATACAAATATGACAATAAACTAATTAGGATTATAAGACAAAATTAAAAGACGTACACTGACTTCGTTATTTCAGTCCTAACATTTATTACCACTGGCAGATAGTTAAAATCAAACGTTTCCGTTTGTTATCAAAATAATGCCAGTTAATTCAACATTCAGATGGTTGACTAGTAGTGAACCCAAGCTCACTACTCTCCCCAAGACTTAGTTAGCTTTACTTTCAAAACAATGCTATTACATCAGGCTTCTCACCAAATTCAAGGTTAACCTATTTCTTCAATCAAATTCTACATCATTTACGTTAACATTTTTATAAAGTCAACATTACTATGAAATCAAAATTTCACATCAAAATCAGCATTTTTAGCAAAGTTAATATTTTCTATAAGAAACCAAATTATTCATCAAGTTCTACATAATTTTACAACAAAGTCCACATAAGATTATCGAGTAAAAAAGATTTCATCTTTGTTGATCAGTCTATATCAATTGCGCGTGAGGGTGGCGCAGCAGAGGTAACGAACCAGTCATGTATTCTGGGATATCATCCGGGTACTCGCTGAAGAAAAACAATAACAGAAGCAACTAACCAGTCCACGGAAATTGCCCTGGATCAGTGGCCCTTTAACTGTCTGGTGTTTCCGTAACAGGCGGAAATACGACTACGTACGGAATGTGACTTTTAGAATGTTCTTTACAATATATCAAAAGTTTTGTTTTCGTTCGTATTCTCCTTTAAGTGCGAGTATTTCAGAAAGTGGCGAGGTTTAATACGGCTAAATAAATATGTTGAATTAATAACAAATAGCGATATTTGGGACCTTACGAGACCAAGCTTACAGTACAGACTTAAGCACAGCCTCGTCACTGCGCCAGAATAAGCAAAAGGAGCCGTCGGCCGACTGGAACCCCTGACGTCAGAACAGGCGATGATGACGTCCTGACCTTTGAACTTGAACCTTGGTCCGGTTGCCGCTCACTTAACCCCCTGGATACCGAGGGTTATTTTTCAGGCGCACATTTTCACTGGGTTTGAAAAGTGAACGTTGTGCGAGCATTGCGCTCACGTGGTCCTGGATCTGCGTACGGCTATTAATGTAGCCTGTTAAATTTCTTATCCGTTGATATAGATATAAGTGGAACTACCCTGGTGGTTTGTGAAGGAGTCACTACTAAGTGTTGGCAAAATTGTTTAGTGATTCGTTAAGAACAGTAAATGCATACTATTGAGAATAGGGAGGGTGCACATTTCATTATCACCCGAATTTCAATGTTCATTTAATAAACTTTCAGGACGCACACCCTGCACACACCACAGACACACGTTCTCACCCCCACCCTTCTGGATCCGCCTATGTGTTATTACATAGCAGATATGGTCGATATGGATATGTCGGGGAGGATACTATGTGGCTGAGTCTGGAATTAGAGACTGATATAAAATACGAAACCTAGTTATATGTATTTGAACATGGATGTATCAATCTATAGGGAACATCGCAAAGATGACATGTGTATTATAATAAGAAGCAATTGCCCATACGTGGCAAATTGAAAGAATGCTCCTTTGAGAGTCGTTAAAGTAACTGTGTCTACAGCCTCGATTTAAATTGTTTTCATCATGGTGATTTTGCAACTTAGTTCTCCGTTGCTGTCAGTTGCAGATTATCATTTTATCGCCAAAAACTGACTTACCTAAGAATCCGAGAATATATATTTGGAATCTGTGCCACTAAGGATGCCATGTGCTCTTTGCAGTGAGTGAGTGAATCCAATCTAATACAGGATATTCGCCACACAAAGCCACTGCCCATAATATGAATCGCCAGTCAAGTTAAAATTACTAGTTTCCTCAACGACAATTCATTGTCATTTGAAAAATCCTATCCATTAACTCAAAATCCAAAATACATTTTATCAAAGATTGCAAGCTACTATCTCCGAAATATTAGGATAAAAATCCTTATATAAAATAGAAGCATGTCTTATTTGATATCAGTGTATCAAATCATAGGTACTTTGTCATTTTCTGACGTATTGTACCAAATAAACATAATAGTATTAATATCTTATTTAGTCAGCATATAACTGTTTTGGAGGAAAACGGGGCACATTTTTGAAGCAAAACTAAAAGAAAATTTGAAGCAAAGTAATTTTCTTTCGTTTCTCTTCAGCTGCTACGTCTAGTAGAGGAGTGTCAACGAGGTGGAAAATTCATCAAAAGTCTAGCAGACAAAATCAAGGCTGAAATACAGAAACTCCTGGAGGACACTGGCTCAGACCCACAAATAAGACAGACAACTAATTTGGTCCAGAACATGAGTGGGGAGATTTTGGAACACAACGACAGACTTTTTTGCAATGAGTCGTCAGTGAAAGACACACGTAGAGAAGGGAAGACAAATCTGCAAGAAATCATTGACTTAGCTGAGGACAAGTGGCAGTCACTGAGTGAGGAGGCAAAACTGAAACTTGACTCCTTGATCAAGAACCTCTGGAACATGACAGCCAGTGTAGGGAAACTTCTCTTCTATGTTCTCCTGCTGTTGGAACTGAGATATGTGTTTGATATACTGAATCCTGAATCCTGTTACATCTCCCTCAACAGAGGTAGACTCAAGTATGCATTTAAGATGGCGTCGATGTTGGCCTTATGGTTGTCTCACGACGTTGAGACAAATCCTGGGCCACAGTTCAATGAGAGAACATGCGTAGAGATGTATGTTCGTCGGTTATCACTGGCTCTCAGAGACGACCTTGACACTGCTGGTTCCATCTGGTCCAAGAAAATTGCCCAAGCGGCTTACAACGCTGGATTTTCAAGGAATTTGAGATGGAACAATCCCTCGTCGGGGAAGAACAAAGACAGCTTGCCCAAGCTGAAAGAGAGGGCAAAGGAACTAATCAGAGTGTTGTCCGATAGGAACTGTCTCCCATCAGATTTGCCAGCTTTCACTGATCTCGACCTACAAGAAACATTAGACGGACTAAGGAAGTACCTTGAGGTAAAGCACTTCGAGACTGCTGCAGACGTTCTGCTCAATGAGCCAGGCTTCACAACCTCACTCAAAGAAAAAATTCGTCACTTGACAGGATTAGCGCAGGAGGAAATTTCATATTCTAAACAAATGATACATAATCCTCCTGGAAGACCACTAACAGTTCCCGATATCAACGAGTTTCAACAATTAGCAGACCCACAGTGTCTGAACGACAGTGAAGGTGATGGAACCACATTACGACAAAATGAGTCCAGCACCGACTGTCCTGTCAGTCCGAGACCACTATCAACCAGCATGGACACACAGAGGCACGAAGGGGACAACCGGGGCCTGACAAACAGAGTATGTACACAGTCTGCCACCACAGACACACTGCAGGACGAAGCCAGAAGGGTAGCGGGGACTACAGGGAGTGACTTTGCATGTAGGACGTCGGATGATAATCAAGAAAACATCATGACAGCCACGCCGTGTACGCCAGAAACTGATGTTTCACATACTTTCCAAGCTGATTGTTATATCCCGCGAGAAAATAATGCCGTTGGTGAAACTAGCATTCAGTTTAATTCGAGTCATGAAGAACAAAGGGATGTCAACATCCCATCTGACATCTGTGTCGCCATCCCATCTGTGTCGCCATCTGACGGTGATTCATTTGACAGAGCTGATAGTGCTGAAGCCTCTCATCCAAATACAGATGCATCTGTAAATGTACATACACCACTCATAAACACCCGTGACATCACTGTCCCTGCAGATACATCTGATGAGGCTTTACTGGCAGATATTAAACAATTTCTTCTCATAAACACCCGTGACATCACTGTCCCTGCAGATACACCTGATGAGGTTATACTGTCAGACTTGACATCTGGACCATCCCGTGTCTTGAACAGTAATGATGTAAATACTTCACACAGACACACACCAAATGCTGATCGCTCCCCTTATGGTGAGACACAGAGCGCTGTTCCTGCAGCATATGATGGTGGCTGTGAAGACGATGCTAGAAATGCATCTGAACCTCTATAGAATGTATCCCCTGACATGTGGATACAGTATGTGAACCAGGTATGATACAGTATGTGAAGGTGTGCAGCATATGATGTGGCTGAAACACCTGAACAGGCATGTAACACACTGGTTGTCAGGAAACACATTACCTGAACGGAGGCTTGAGGCAACACCTGAACAGGCATGTAACACACATGGTTGTCAGGAAACATATGGAACAGAGGCTTCAACACCTGAACAGGCATGTAACACACTGTTCCTGCATGCATAACACATGGTTGTCCAGAAACGGAACGGAGGCTAGAAAGGCATCACCTGAACCATCTACACAATGTTGTCCCCTGACATATGGAACAGAGGCTTGTGAGGCAACACCTGAACAGGCATGTAACACACATGGTTGTCAGGAAACATATGGAACGGAAGCTTGTGAGGCAACACCTGAACAGGCATGTAACACACATGGTTGTCAGGAAACATATGGAACGGAAGCTTGTGAGGCAACACCTGAGACAGACACACAAACATCTGGAACAACAACTGAAACCGACACACAAGCTTGTGTGACAACTGCTGAAACTGACACTCAGGCTTGTGTGACAACGAGAGAAACCGACACACAGGTTTGTGTGACAACTGCTGAAACTGACACACAGACCTGTGTGACAACGAGAGAAACCGACACACAAGCTTGTGTGACAACGACAACCGCTGAAACACAGACGTGTGTAACAACAGCTGAGATCGGCACACAGACGTATCTGGAAACAACCGAAACCAATACACAGACATGTGTGGTAACAGCAGAGGGAGACACACAGACTCATTTCGTAACAGCTGATATAGACACGCAGACGAATGTGACAACAGCTGGAACAGGACAAACACCGAGGTCCCCCGGAAACAGCCTCAACCAGGTGAGTCTGGAAGGAAATACGATGTGAAATATTAATAATAACAGCCATATATAATTGTTCACTAAAACAGATCACATCGGTGACACAACACCAAAGTTAGCAAAATGTCTGTATTCCGGACTGAATTTTGCCTCAGAAAGTTAAATTATGTATTATTTTCTCCGGCCTCAGGTTGATAGTGACGAGTCTGAGATGTCGCCTGGGAGAAGCTGTGGCACATGCAGGAAACGGAAACACCAGCTGCAACAACTCCCTAGCAAGAAAAGACGGATTTAGAAGGCCTGGTGTCTGATCTGGACTGAATACGTTTCTACAACAACGAGATATCTAGTGACTGTGTGTGCTCTGAATTGTTAGGTTCAGAAGGATATTTGACATTTACATCCAAATTTACATCAACAGAAACAAGAAAACTGATTTCAGGACAAGGATTGTTCTTCTGATCCTTCATTATCTGTAGTCATGGTGATATTCAGTTATACTTTCCAAAACATATACTGACAAAATACTAGTTCATGACAGATGACAACTGTGCCATATTTTCGTGCTTCACGTTTCTTATGATTATTATTAGGTAGATGAGGTGATCATATGAATGTGATCATGCTGATATAGAACAGTGTATCTCCTATACTCAACACAGCTGTAAGTCTGACACACCTTTCTACACTGTTTGCTCCCCTAAGCTGATGGCAATACGTATTTCATTGTTCACTGTGTATATAACCATCACGTCTGGTTTTTCTGTTGCTGATTTTTAGCTATTGTTTGTAAGTGGAAATGTATGTTGAACACTTGACCGTATTTTATCACGTAACTTTCCACGTTAAATTAAGATATTTATTTAGACTAAAAATGTGTAAATAGATGTAATAATGTCTGTTTAAATTTGAAAGACGCAGCCACGCCCCCTAAGTTTATGTTAGTCCAAAGCCTGTACTTATGTTCAAGGCGATAGGCTGGTGAATGTTCTGTGTGAAGAATGTATGACTTACAGTGAGTAGGTGAGTTTAGTTTTACACCACACTCTGCAATATTCCAGCTTTATGGCGGCGGTCTGGAAATAATCGAGTCTGGACCAGACAATCCAGTGATCAACAGCATGAGCATCGATCTATGCAATTGGGAACCGATGACATGTGTCAACCAAGTCAGCGAGCCTGACCACCCGATCCCATTAGTCCCCTCTTACGACAAGCATGGGTTACTAAAGATCAATAATCTAACCCGGTTTTTTCACGGGTCGTACGACTCACAAATGAAAGTACCTCTCGCCCTATGACACTGCACATCCATCTCCATCCATCTGAAATCCACACAGATAATACAAATCGATGATGATCGTCAAAGTATATGTGTTCATAGCAAACGGCTACAAATTAGCAAATACCGGAAACGTTTCCTCATGAATGAATTGCCCTATACGGTCAGAGGTTAACAGACAGACATATAATATATTGCATGAGGTGGAACAAGAAATAGCCCTGTTTGAGTAGTGAGGATGTATGGTTTTACACCGCTCTTAGCAATGTTCCAGCAATATCATTGGCTTCACACACTCATCCATGTAGGGATTCGAACTCAGGTGTTCGGGTAATGTTTTAACCACTGGGCTACCCCACCGCCCAATATAATGAGAAGAGCCATGTGGTTTTATCTAAAATTTCAAGAGGGCTGAATGATATCAACGTCCACATAGGCTTTATAAATACATTTCACAAGTAATTAACAATTTATTTCGAACGGGGCGTTCTTTTGCGATATGCAGTCAAACACTGTTGTGGCGAACTTAATGTTATCTCGAAGTAAAAGTTTGTTCCCCTTCTTACGTTTTGTTTCTCGTCATTTTTGGTTGCGTTTACCCACGGATACATCGAAATATCTAGCTAGCTCCCGTTAACTTCGACACAGCAGTGTTTACTGTATACGGCTATAGATTGATCATATTTCACTTCAAATATTTGTTTCCCATCATTGCAGCTCTCAGAATATACGTCAGATACTCGCTTTAATCTATCTCCAAATGAAACATAATGTAGTTAAGTGCCATGTTTTATCGTTCTTCTTAATTTTTATTTGTAGATATAATATTATTGTGAAATAAATATTTTAACCATAGTTTTTGCTTTTTTGATTTACGAAAATGTAAATTTCATGTAGATTTACGCCGCACTCAGCAATATTCCAGCTATATGGCAGCGGTCTGTTAATAATCGAGTCTGGACCAGACAATCCCGTGATCAACAGCATGAGCATCGATCTATGCTATTGGGGTAGATGACATGAGTCAACCAAGTCAGCGAGCCTGACCACCCGATCCCGTTAGACGCCTCTTACGTCAAGCATAGTCGCCTTTTGTGGCAAGCATGGGTTGCTGAAGATCTATTCTATCCCAGATCTTCACGGGTCAATTGCAGATTAGAGTGAATGGGGTTGAATATAGAATATATTAACTTAAAGACTGGAGTATTTTGTCAGAAACCAAGACATTTATTTCAGCTTTCTCAGCAAATTATTTTGGGCAGTGATGAAGTATTTGCGAATTACAATTTAACAGTTGACTAAGCCGAATTAGTGGTGATATTGTGAGTGAAGTGTGGGTGACTAGGTATTGTTTTACGCCGCGTGGGACAATATTCTAGCAATATCACTGAAGGACATCAGAGATGCTTCAAGCATTGTACCCATGTATAAAATCAACTGACGTGCGAAAGCTTTAACTGCTAACCTAACCTGACTTGGTTGACACATGTCATCGGGTCCCCATTGCGCATATCGATGCTCATGTTGTTGATCACTGGCTTGTCTGGTCCAGGCTCGATTATTTACAGACAGCCGCCATATAGCTGGCAAATTGCTGAGTGCGGTGTAAAACTAACTCACTCACTCACTTTCAAGCATTCTGATTGGTTTGTCGTACTTTCGCATGTAACTAACATTCATCGCCTGGGGGCTGAATCTTATTGGAGAATATGGAAAGTGGTGACCAATGGTCTGGCGAAGGTTATCTTCATAACATATTCGTCCCTTTCCGGAATAAGCCGAAAAATTACATTGGTGACGTTTAACAGAATGGCGTTCGTGAGTGAGTGAGTATTATTTTACGCTGCTTTCAGCAATATTCCAGCAACATCACTAGGGGACACCAGAGACAGTCTTCAAACGTTGTACCCACGAACGGAATCAACTGACGAACGAACGCAATACCCACTAAGCTATCAAAACGCCCGTGACATTTGTGTGGGTGGTTATTTTGTTCCAGCTATGTTCTAGCTATATGACGGTGGAGTGAATGTGTGTGAGTGAGTGTGTGTGAGTGAGAGGTTGTTTTGTTGCTTAACGCCACACTCGAGCTATATTCTGGCTATATGACGGTGGAGTGAGTGTGTGTGAGTGAGTGGGTGAGTGAGTGGTTGTTTTTTTGTTTACCGCCACGCCCAAGCTATATTCTGGCTATATGACGGTGGTGTGAGTGTGAGTGAGTGTGTGTGAGTGGGTGAGTGAGTGGTTGTTTTGTTGTTTAACGCCACACCAAAGCTATATTCTGGCTATATGACGGTGGAGTAGTGTGGTGAGTGGTTGTTTTGTTGATTAACGCCACACTCCAGCTATAGGTCTTCTGGCTATGTGGCGGTGGGTGAGTGTGAGTGAGTGGTTGTTTTGTTGATTAACGCCACACTCCAGCTATATTCTGGCTATATGACGGTGGAGTGAGTGTGCGTGAGTGAGTGAGAGCGTGTGTGAGTGGTTATTACGTTGTTTAACGCCACACCAAAGCTATATTCTGGCTATATGACGGTGGAGTGAGTGTGAGTGAGTGGTTGTTTTGTTGTTTAACGCCACACCCAAGCTATATTCTGGCTATATGACGGTGGAGTGAGTGTGTGAGTGATCGGTTGTTTTGTTGATTAACGCCACACTCCAGCTATATTCTGGCTATATGACGATGGAGTGTGTGTGAGTGAGTGGGTGAGAGTGAGTGAGTGGGTAAGTGAGTGGGTGAGTGGTTGTTTTGTTAATTAACGCCACACTCCAGCTATATTCTGGCTATATGACGATGGAGTGTGTGTGAGTGAGTGGGTGAGAGTGTGAGTGAGTGGTTGCTTTGTTGTTTATCGCCACACCCCAGCTATATTCTGGCTATATGAGGATGGAGTGAGTGAGTGTGTGTGTGAGTCGGTGATTATTTTGTTGTTTAACGTCACACCCCAGATATAGAATACAGCACCACAAACTTACGTCATAATACCCTTTTACGTAATGTAATGTGATTTTGTTCGAAAGCACTTTCTCGAAACAATGCCCTATGACGCCTGCATGGCAACACGGTTGTCTGGCTCAGTGAGTGCGTATAAGCTCCGCTCACTGGAATTCATCTCTACGAGCTATGTCATTGCATAAGCCCAGCGATGTTGAGAGTTTCCAGTAGTTGTGTGGGCGGCGGATGCGCAATATTTTGCAAGCACCAGTTTGAAATATTTTTCTTTTTTCACTAATACTCTCATATTTATTTGTATTACGGGCTGCTGAGGTGTTATGTTTTGTGTATTTTGTATTTTTAAAAAATTACATATATATTTTTGTCATTCAGTAATTTGCACCATTACATAGAAAAGTGTTTTATTAGTATTTTATTTTTCGAAACGGTAATAATGCATTACATTAGACACGTCAGTCGTGTTTGTGCCGGTTCGGTCAATGCATTCTATTTATTAGGCTTAATTCAAGGGATTCGGGCTAGGGCTAGGGCTAGGGTTAGGGTTAGGGTTAGGGTTAGGGACCTAATGCAATGTAGTAGGTACATGTCAGGTGGTTCGGCCAATGCATTCTATTTATTAGGATTATTTCAAGGGGGTAGGGTTAGGGCTGAGGGCTGAGGGCTGAGGGTTTAGGGTTTAGGGTTAGGGTTAGGGTTAGGGTTAGGGACCTAATCCAATAGGGTTAGGGACCTAATCAAATATAATAGGTACATGTCCGGTGTAATACGTGAGTACCATTTGTTGTTTTTCCTTTTTGTATTATAATACTTTTTTTCACACAAAAACGGGAAACCAAAAACGTCGAAAGTACATTAAGAAATGGGTTAATGTAGAAATTTTGGGCTAATGGAAAATGGTCTGGAATTTGCACTCAAGCCTCTTTCACACGCAACATAAATTTTGTAAAGTAATGATTCGAAGGCTAACTCTCGTGCCGTCACTTCACATGCTCATGTCTCCCTCGTTCCTTAGTGAGATCCACATTATCCTTACAGTGTTCCCTACATCACTTTTCTGTCACAAAATCACGGATTTATATAAAAGCGCCTCATTCCTGCATGCACCGTGAAATCTACGTCTGACGCCTGACGTCAACAACCCTTTTCAGTGTGAGGCATATCGGCTCATTCCACGCCACACGTTAATTTGTAGATTACGGAATGGGACGAGTGTGCCAAATGGCATCGGATCCATTCGGCAATTGTCCGTATAATATAATCACGAGACACCAAGTCTACCTGTAGCATTCGTAATTGTCCGTGACCTATTCGACTCTTTCCGTTCATTTCCGTGACGTCACAGGTATGACTCGATAAATTTGCACATTGTGCAACAGTGTGGACGTAGCTCAGTCGGTTAGCTGTCGAGCTAACAATCCGAAGGTCGCGCGTTCGCGTCCGACGGGTTCTCACAAACTGGTTGCTTGTCTTAATGACACGTGACCTACGGCAGAGATCGTCCTCACGAGAAGTTGTGGCGCTGTATTCTAAAGGTGCTCCTAGTCTGGCTATATGACGGTGGAGTGAGTAAGTGAGTGAGTGATGAGTGTTGAGCTCATGTGTTTCACGAAAATAACGACAGGATTGATTATACACCCAGGACCTACGCATCTGGTGTAACTATCCGTTGTTCTGTCCCGACAAGACTGGATTATGATTGTTATTATAGCACGAGAATAATAAACCATTAGGGACTTTGGAATCGTGACAAATCTGGAGTCA